TTCCTCTGTCAATCTCCGTAAATATTTAATATGTCTCTATCATGTCTCCCCCTTTCTTTCCTCTTAGTGCCTTCGTCCTCTCTTCATATCCCATCACGCGTAATTCTGAGATGAACCTTGTCGTAAACTTCTGAACCTTTTCGAGTTTCCTTATGTGTTTTTGAGATTGGGTTTCATGATGGGGCTGCATATCCTAAAACTGGTCTCATGTAGGTAGTGTTCAGCGATCTAAATGCCTCCTTATTCACGGAAAATGTTATACTTTTTGCTAATGTAGAGTATGCTGCTGACTTTATCCTATTTATATGAGCCATCGCAGTTAGGTTTGGTGTTATGTCCACGCCCAGGTCTTATTCTCTAGTCTATACAGAAAGGTAGTTTCCCCTTCATTATGGTCTGTCTCTTTGGTCTCCTGTCTCCAGTTCCAGCTGTGTGTGTGTGTGTGGTGTGTGGGTGTGTGTGTGGTGTGTGTGTGTGTGTGTGGTGTGTGTGTGTGGTGTGTGTAGATTTTGTTCATAATATTTATAAAACCCAGCACACAGAGGAAGTGGAGGGTGCGGCCCACACAGCCAGTGGTGGAGAGGTCTCCGCTGGTCTTATTAAGCAACTCTCCACTACCTGCAAATAACGCAACACATTAATAAACCAAAATATTTAAGTAGAATAATTTTAATTACTGCGATATTACTGATCTAATCACTTGATGTCACTTCAGACGTATCACTGTACTAGTCTTATATACACCAATGATCTCTCCTTGTTAAATGAGGCCAATTCAACTGCATTCAAACTTGTGACTCGTCAGTCTTTATAATTACCATTTATTGCTTCACATAGCATGAAGATAACAGCTAAACATGACTCCACTGACAGCTAAATGAGTAAGAAGAATGTAATATATTACCGGATCGCTCCTCAGCTATGATACATTTTAACAAGCTTTCACTATTAAATTGCTGTTCTTTATGTGTATCTGAATATTTAAAAAAATATTAATAATAGTTTTTTTTATCGGCCAGCATAAACTAATTTAAATTTAATTTATACAATTACAAAATATCAAGTGCTTGTTACATTACAGAGTATAATAAGGACACTTGTGTATTAACAATTGAGCTATTAACATGGGTGTAACACAGTTCTCAGCAATAACAATATGGTTGATGCACAGACGTCGTACACAAACTGTGTTGGACAATAACAACGACCTCCATAATACCTCTCCCTTCAGTAACTGTGAACATTGTGGTGCTCACACGGCTCAACACAATGCTATCTAACGTAATGTAAGGTAGACCTCATCTTTTAACTGACATAAACATTATATTGGCCCAAAAGTACAATACTGTGCTCCCCCCCCCCACTAAGGTCACATGTGACCCCCCCTCTCCCGGGCACGTGCTCCCCTCCTCCCCAGGTGTGGGGGCCGCGGGTGTGGGCGCGTACCTTGAACACACTACTGGACCTTCTTCCTCCCGACGAAATTGTCCATCATGTGGTTGACGTCGAGGCAGTCACTGAGGTAGAACATGACCTTCTGCGGCAGTAGTCTGTGGACGGAGGGAAGTGCGTTAGTTCATCTACACTTTTCACCTATGGTACTGTACACTAACTGTTGTGGCTGGACCATCTGGTCTCCCATGATGCACCGCCACACAGGACAGGCTGTAGGGGTAACTAACCCACCACCTTCCCGCCAGGCACCAAGCCTAAGACAGTACCAGGGTTCAGAGTTCAGCAACACAAAAACCCTTAGGAACAATGGGATGACCTTTAACAAGCCGCCGGCTTCCGGTCCCCGTCCTGGCTAAAAGGGATAGTGGATGTCAGGTAAATTCAGGTAAATGCGTACAACTAATCAGCGAGAGGAGTTAATCACCACAACAGCTGGTGTAAGTCACACCAGCTGTTGTGACTACACCAGCTGTTGTGACTACACCAGCTGTTGTTACTACACCAGCTGTTGTGACTACACCAGCTGTTGTGACAACACCAGCTGTTGTGATAACACCAGCTGTTGTGACTATACCAGCTGTTGTTACTACACCAGCTGTTGTGACTACACCAGCTGTTGTGACTACACCAGCTGTTGTTACTACACCAGCTGTTGTGACTACACCAGCTGTTGTGACAACACCAGCTGTTGTGACTACACCAGCTGTTGTTACTACACCAGCTGTTGTGACTACACCAGCTGTTGTGACTACACCAGCTGTTGAAGACCAACACCTGTGTTAGACATAATATCTCATATATTCTCTGCAGCTGCCGTGTTCTCACACAGTGGTTTGTGTTACTACAGGTGTTGGAGAACAACTGACGTGTTCTCACATGAATACACTAACACACACACACACAGATCTTATAATTTTCAGTAGTTAACAGTTTAAAGTAACTGGCAGAAGTAGGAAGGGTTGAGAGGAGACAAGGGAGAGGGCGAGAGGGAGAGAGGGAGAGAGAGGGAGAGAGGGAGAGGGAGAGAGGGAGAGGGAGAGAGGGAGAGGGGGAGAGGATACTCACAGGTTAAGGAAGAGGTTGATCTTCATGGTGGAGGGCAGGTGGAGGACGCGAGTATTGAGCAAGATGGCGTCCACGGCCTCCTCCGCCACCCACTCCGGCTCCAGGACGGGCAGGTACCTGCAGGTACAACCACACTCTTCACCACCACCCACACTCTTCACCACCACCCACACTCTTTACCACCACCCACACTCTTTACCACCACCCACACTCTTTACCACCACCCACACTCTTCACCACCCACCACCCACCACACACACTCCTCACCACCCACCACACACACTCTTCACCACCACCCACACTCTTCACCACCACACACACTCTTCACCACCACCCACACTCTTCACCACCACCCACACTCTTCACCACCACCCACACTCTTCACCACCACCCACACTCTTCACCACCACCCACACTCTTTGCCACCACCCACACTCTTTACCACCACCCACACTCTTTACCACCACCCACACTCTTTACCACCACCCACACTCTTTACCACCACCCACACTCTTTACCACCACCCACACTCTTCACCACCACCCACACTCTTCACCACCACCCACACTCTTCACCACCACCCACACTCTCACCACCACACACTCTTCACCACCACCCACACTCTTTACCACCACCCACACTCTTACCACCACCACCCACACTCTTCACCACCACCCACACTCTTCACCACCACCCACACTCTTCACCACCCACCCACACTCTTCACCACCACCCACACTCTTCACCACCACTCACACTCCACCACCACTCACACTCTTCACCACCACTGCCACCACCCACACTCTTCACCACCACCCCCACACTCTTCACCACCACCCACACTCTTCACCACCACCCACACTCTTCACCACCACACCACACTCTTCACCACCACCCACACTCTTCACCACCACCCACACTCTTCACCACCACCCACACTCTTCACCACCACCCACACTCTTCACCACCACCCACACTCTTCACCACCACCCACACTCTTCACCACCACCCACACTCTCACCACCACCACCCACACTCTTCACCACCACCCACACTCTTCACCACCACCCCACACTCTTCACCACCACCCACACTCTTCACCACCACCCACACTCTTCACCACCACCCACACTCTTCACCACCACCCACACTCTTCACCACCACCCACACTCTTCACCACCACCCACACTCTTCACCACCACCCACACTCTTCACCACCACACACACTCTTCACCACCACCCACACTCTTCACCACCACCCCACACTCTTCACCACCACCCACACTCTTCACCACCACCCACACTCTTCACCACCACCCACACTCTTCACCACCACCCACACTCTTCACCACCACCCACACTCTTCACCACCACCACACACTCTTCACCACCACCCACACTCCACACCACCACCCACACTCTTCACCACCACCCACACTCTTCACCACCACCCACACTCTTCACCACCACCCACACTCTTCACCACCACCCACACTCTTCACCACCACCACCCACACTTCTCACCACCACCACTCTTCACCACCACCACACACTCCCCACCACCACCCACACTCTTCACCACCACCCACACTCTTCACCACCACCCACACTCTTCACCACCACCCACACTCTTCACCACCACCCACACTCTTCACCACCCACCACCACTCTTCACACCACCCCACCACCACCACCACTCTTCACCACCACCCACACTCTTCACCACCACCCACACTCTCCCACCACCACCCACACTCTTCACCACCACCCACACTCTTCACCACCACCCACACTCTTCACCACCACCCCACACTCTTCACCACCCACACACTCTTCACCACCACCCACACTCTTCACCACCACCCACACTCTCACCACCACCACCTTCACCACACTCTTCACCACCACCCACACTCTCACCACCACCACCACCCACACTCTTCACCACCACCCACACTCTTCACCACCACCCACACTCTTCACCACCACCCACACTCTTCACCACCACTCACCACTCTCCCACCACACCTTCACCCACACTCTTCACCACCACCCACACTCTTCACCACCACCCACACTCTTCACCACCACTCACACTCTTCACCACCACCCACACTCTTCACCACCACCCACACTCTTCACCACCACACACCCACCACACACTCTTCACCACCACCCACACTCTTCACCACCACCCCACACTCTTCACCACCACCCACACTCTTCACCACCACCCACACACTCTTCACCACCACCCACACTCTTCACCACCCACCCACACTCTTCACCACCACCCACACACTCTCACCACCACCCACACTCTTCACCACCACCCACACTCTTCACCACCACCCACACTCTTCACCACCACCCACACTCTCACCACCACCACCCACACTCTTCACCACCACCCACACCCACCACCACCACACCACACTCTTCACCACAACACTCCCACACTCTTCACCACCACCCACACACTTCACCACCACCCACACTCTTCACCCACCACCCACACTCTTCACCACCACCCACACTCTTCACCACCACCACCACACTCTTCACCACCACCCACACTCTTCACCACCACCCACACACCACACCACCACCACACACTTCACCACCACCCACACACTGCCCCATCACACTCTTCACCACCACCCACACTCTTCACCACCACCCACCACACTCTTCACCACCACCCACACTCTTCACCACCACCCCACTCCACCACCCACACTCTTCACCACCACCACACACACTCTTCACCACCCACACTCTTCACCACCACCCCACTCCACCACCCACACTCTTCACCACCCCCACACACTCACCACCACCCACACTCTTCACCACCACCCACACTCTTCACCACCACCCACACTCTTCACCACCACTCACACACTCACCACCACCACCCACACTCTTCACCACCACCCACACTCTTCACCACCACCCCACACTCACTCACCACCACCACCCACACTCTTCACCACCACCCACACTCTTCACCACCACCCACACTCTTCACCACCACCCACACTCACCACCACCCACACTCCACCACCACCCACACTCTTCACCACCACCCACACTCTTCACCACCACCCACACTCTTCACCACCACCACCCACACTCACCACCACCACCCACACTCCCACCACCACTCACACTCTTCACCACCACCCACACTCACCACCACCACCCACACTCTTCACCACCACCCACACTCTTCACCACCACCCACACTCTTCACCACCACCCACACTCTTCACCACCACCCACACTCTTTCACCACCACCCACACACTTCACCACCACTCACACACCACTTCACCACCACCATCACTCACCACCACCACCCACACTCTTCACCACCACCCACACTCTCCCACCACCACCCACACTCTTCACCACACACTCACCACACACCACCCACGCACCACCACCACCCACACTCTTCACCACCACCCACCACACTCTTCACCACCACCCACACTCTTCACCACCACCCACACTCTTCACCACCACCCACCACCCACACACACTTCACCACCACCCACACTCTTCACCAGCACCCACACTCTTCACCACCCACACTCTTCACCACCACCCACCACACTCTTCACCACCACCCACACTCTTCACCAGCACCACCACACTCTTCACCACCCACTCTTCACCACCACCACCCACTCTTCACCACCACCCACACTCTTCACCACCACTCACACTCTTCACCACCACCCACACTCTTCACCACCACCCACACTCTTCACCACCACCCACACTCTTCACCACCACCCACACTCTTCACCACCACCCACACTCTTCACCACCCACCCACACTCTTCACCACCACCCACACTCTTCACCACCACCCACACTCTTCACCACCACCCACACTCTTCACCACCACCCACACTCTTCACCACCACCCACACTCTTCACCACCCCACACTCTTCACCACCACCCACACTCTTCACCACCACCCACACTCACCACCACTCACACACCACCACCCACACTCTTCACCACCACCCACACTCTTCACCACCACCCACACTCTTCACCACCACCCACACTCTTCACCACCACCCACACTCTTCACCACCACCCACACTCTTACCACCACCACCCACACTCTTTCACCACCACCCACACTCTTCACCACCACCCACACTCTTCACCACCACCCACACTCTTCACCACCACCCACACTCTTCACCACCACCCACACTCTTCACCACCACCCACACCACCACCACCACCACACTCTTCACCACCACCCACACTCTTCACCACCACCCACACTCTTCACCACCACCCACACACTCTTTACCACCACCCACACTCTTCACACCACCACCCACACTCTTCACCACCACCCCACACTCCCACCACCACCCACACTCTTCACCACCACCCACACTCTTCACCACCACTCACACTCTTCACCACCCACACTCTTCACCACCACCCACCACACTCTTCACCACCACCCACACTCTTCACCACCACCCACACTCACCACCACCACCCACACTCTTCACCACCACCCACCACACCCACACACCACCACCCACACTCTTCACCACCACCCACACTCTTCACCACCACCCACACTCTTCACCACCACCCACACTCACCACCACCACCCACACTCTTCACCACCACTCACACCACCACCCACACTCTTCACCACCACCCACACTCTTCACCACCACCCACACTCTTCACACCACACACACTTCACCCACACTCTTCACCACCACCACCACACTCTTCACCACCACTCACACTCTTCACCACCACTCACACTCTTTACCACCACCCACACTCTTCACCACCACTCACACTCTTCACCACCACCCACACTCTTCACCACCACCCACACTCTTCACCACCACCCACACTCTTCACCACCACCCACACTCTTCACCACCACCCACACTCTTTACCACCACCCACACTCTTCACCACCACTCACACTCTTCACCACCACCCACACTCTTTACCACCACCCACACTCTTCACCACCACCCACACTCTTCACCACCACCCACACTCTTTACCACCACCCACACTCTTCACCACCACTCACACTCTTCACCACC